ATAGGGTGGAGGCCATTACTACTAGGAGCAAGGACGCTAGTAGGGTGGAGGCCATCGCTATTAGGTTGGAGGCCATTCCTATTGGGTTGTTCATTCAAGTGTCTCATCCACCTTTTCTCATTGCAGTGGCTACTCCACAGGTGAAAGATCCATCGGGCCAGCACTACTGGTGGAACACGCAAACCAATCAGGCCTGCGATTGAACCTTTTGCAACTCCCTGTACACCACTTTGCGCACTCTTCAACCAAAGATCAAGCGGATCTGCGTGACATATCGGAATTCCGTATGCCTTTTTGTTCCCTTAGATTAAGGCTCAGCCTTCTCGGAAGGTTGTGTTCGACTGCATGGGTTTCTTTTTCTCGATGTTCCTTGGGCACATTGCAGAAGAATTGCGATTCATATTTGACAGATTTTGTTTTGCTGGGTTGGGGCTGGGCGTTTAGCAAGAGCTGTTGCGCTATTCGTTGTAGCTTGATGCTCAACTCCTTTGACGCGCTCTACAAGTTGTGCTGCTAGTGTAAGCTCGTGTCGACAGCTTCACTGAAAGCGTTGGTTCTAGGCAAGAACACCAAGAACCTGTTTCCAGATAACTCTTCTCACAACCGTTTTCGACAGATTGAGAGGAAATTGACATAAAGGTCCAGCTGGTGCCTGCAGCTTTAGCTCCAATGTCGCCATGGGCCAAAACTTCTATGCGGTGCTTTGCATCTCCCAGAGCGCAAACGTGGATGAGATCCGACAAGCTTTTAAGAGAAGAGCACTGGAGGCTTCACAGCATCTGTGGTGAACAATATGCTGTACAATCTGTACATATATATATATTATATATATATATATATTGATTATATACATGTTACGAAAGCCAGCCGATAGGCTAGGCTTGAGCTCTTAGAGCGAACGAAGTGAGTTAAGGGGGTGTGGGGGGGGGAGGGCGCGAAAAGGCACCAATTGAGAGGGTGAACCCGGAGCTTGGTGGGGGAGAGCGCTCCAGAGCGAGGGTCAGAAAAGCAGTGAAAATGGGGTCTGGTGATGCGAGTGATGCAATGGACGCCGAGTAGTGCATCATTAGCATCATGAAGGGGTTTCAATTTTTCCTAGTCCTGAGCAGAGCATAGGGACTGTGGCTCTGATCATACCAAGAAGGACCAAGCAACAAAGAGTGAACGCTCTGGGGGCGAACGATGTGAGCATGTCCAGTTGAGCGAGGTAGAGGCTAGAGGCTTGTGGAAAAGAGCGCCGCAAGAGGAGAAGCAAGAAAGCTGCAAGCGTTCAACATGCTGTGCTCCGATCTTGATCTCAGTCGCAGTGATACCAGCTCCACACGAAACCACAGGCTTTCAACTATAGGTGCTCTGCTATTTTTTCCTTCCAGCCCTGCTCTCTATGGGGCTTCGCATTGATGCACGATACCCGAAACACATTTCAACGCAACCACAAAAACCATTTCGGGCATCATTCTCCTGGTGTTCACTGACGTTTATTTTTGCACGGATTGTCAAGTAGAACACCAACAAGGGACGCTCCAGAAGGCGCCGCACCAAGCAAATCAAGAATACTAAAAACATTCAACACTTCATGCTGTGCTCCGATCTTCATCTACGTCGCAGTGATACCAGCTCCACGAAAACTACAACCATTCAAGAATGAGTGCTCTCCTCTTTTTTTTCTCCCAGCCCTGCTCTTTATAGGGCTTCGCATTGATGCACGATGCCCGAAACACATTTCAAAACAACCAAAAGCCACCTTTCGGGCATCCTTCTCCTGGTCTTCACTGACGTTTATTTTTACACGGATTCTCAAGTAGACCACCAAACAGGGACGCTCCAGAGCACCGCGCCAGGAAAATCGAGAAAACCTAAAACATTCAACACTTCATGCTGTGCTCCGATCTTGATCTACTCCACGTTGATACAAGCTCCACGAAAGCTACAGGCATTCAACAATAAGTGTTCCGCTATTTTTTCCTCCCAGTTTTGCACTACCGTATTGGTCTCTCGCTGGCTTTCGTCCTCTCCTCTCTCAGGTGTTAGATACATAATATACCTTATATATATATTATAATGTTTGAACATGAATGCTGAGTGTTTTTTCTCTCACTCTTTGATGGAGTCAATCAGCAAGTCGATGTCACTGTCAGTTAGTCGAACCAATCTTGCTCGAATCACAAGAGCTTTTTCAAAAATCATAGAGGGTACCGGGGAGCCCCGATGTTTCTATGTTTGATCGACTGAAGGGTTGTTTCTTTTGGCTTTGTGGAGGTGCACCCAGATAAGGGCGGCAGCAAGGCAGGAATGGTGAAGCAACAGTTGTGTTATGTTGTTTTTCAGCAAACCTGACGTGGTCTTGTATTCCCAGCATGATTGAACCTGATTTTCTTGCTCAGATAGTTGAGACTATGTTTCACTGCAAGGAGTCCTTCCACCGCGTGTACCAAGCATTTGAGACCTTGGCAGATGCCGAACGTCGCCAAAGCTATGACATCCGGCTTTGTAGCTCCGAAGACAGTGTCTTGGTCGCATGTTTTGCAGATGGGCATTGCTGGATTGCTGAGGGTTTCTGGCCACAGATCCACTGTTCTCTTGTATTTTAGGAACCGTGCATGGAATTATTGACCTGAACAGAGCTAGCAAGGGCTGTACCGAGCTTGCTTGTTTGGGGTGGTTAATACCAGACTTTACTGTATTCGCCAGTCACGAGAGAGAGAGAGAGAGAGAAAGGATGAAAAAGGTTATAAGAATCAAATGCTCACGTATCAGTCTGGCAATGAAGATATGTTATGTCTCAGCAGCATTCGTGGGTTTGCAGACGCAGATATTGGTTTGTGAGTCAAATTAGAGCATGGTGGCTGCAGCTTAAACTTTGCTAAGAACTTGCAAGAGTGGCACAGAAGGCAAAGTCAACAGAGACTGAGACTTGGCTATTTTGTGAGGAAGTACCCTTAGTTTGCTTTCCACACACTTTATAAGTTTATCAGCTACCAACGTCTTGAATCAGGTCATTCAGCTGGCCCCTGTCCACGTTTTCAGATTTGTGGGTTTTGTGTTGCTTTGAGCATCTTCACAGCACATTTCAGACAATCCTTTTTTCAGGCAATGGCGCCGAAATCGAAGTCAAAACGGAGGCCAAGCAAGGGACCTGCAAAGGTCGCTCCGAAAGCTCGACCTGTAAAAAGTTCCAAAACAGTCAGGAAGCCCCTTGAAGCATTTTGAGGCCACATTGTGGCAACATGTTGGGCAACATGTTGCATGTTGGATCGACCTGTTGGGAGAGGGCAGAATTCACTACAGTAAGTTTTTGCAGTTACGAGCATATACAAACTGCATTTTCTTTGCTTTGGTTTTGTGTGATGCAACTTGGTAGTTGAAATGCGCAGCAGTGAGCAGTTTTTGTTACTGCAAGCTATGGACATGAACTGTTATTGAACAGATGCGTTCCTCACATTTAGCCCACTTGGTGGCCCATTAAGATTGGAAGTGACATGATTTGACACGATGCCTCTACCAAGCCCAGCTTTCGTGAGGTGCAACAGTCTTTGGTTGTATAGGTCTAAGCAGCATGGGTGTTAAAGTTGTGTTTTTTGAAACAACCGCAGCATGTACGAAGCTGTAGCAACCAACAGTACTGCCGACAAGTAGAGCAGATAGAATGTTGCAAGGCCTTCCACTGTTTTGATCGAAATCCCGTCCTCCACAGAGAACTTGCATTCAGAATTCCAAGATTGGAAGATCTTATTATCAGGTTGGAGGCCATCGCTATGATTAGGCTGAAGGCCATCGCTACTAGGGTGGAGGCCATCGCAATTAGGTTGGAGGCCATCGCTACTAGGGTGGAGGCCATCGCTACTAGGT